TATATATAAATAATTTTTTTTTGTGGGTCTTTTTAAGGGGTTGTGACGTGTTAGAGATTATTGTGATATCTCTGACTCGTCTTTCATGTGATTAAATGAGATCTAAGGCGCCTCCTGTTCATTCTGACAGCAGCTATCTGAACTGTGGTCTGATCCAAGATGGCCGCCCTCTAGGCACGTAGGCCAGCGTCCAATGAGGCGTCTATGTATATAATGTCTATGGCTTATACAAGCTTACTGTACCCAACAACCATCCTAACCCCTAAATCCTATATAGAGCGGGGACTATATAGTGAACTTTATAGTGAACTCAGTTAACTGACCGTTTGTACAGATGATTATTTCCCTGTTGGTCCACTGAGCGGTTCCTGCGCCATTTTGTTTTCGCAGCAGTCTGGTAGCGACAACCTATGATGACAGCCGGCTGTTGTGAAAGTAAATCCCATAAGGCTTTGTGAGGATAGCTCTCTGTGCAAAGCATTCTGGGATATATCTGCCTCTTCTGAGGCCTTTCTTTTCTTCTCATACACTTCTTGGACACTTTTTCTCTTCCGACCCACGGCTATTTGCAAAGAACCGCAATGAGAAAGGTGAGCTTTAATGACTGTCTGAAACCGTAGCTCATCTGCTTCTCCTGGTTTTGTTTGTCACAGATAACAAGGACATTTACATCCAGCAAGCTGTTGTCTTCATAGAAGATGCCATCCATGTGAGTATCCTGATAATTTTAAGAGACCTCGATGTATAGCTCTGTATGGGGGATAAAGTTTGGACATGTTCGTTAGTAGACGTATTCATTTATTAACTGCTGTATTGATCCAATCTTCCTGTTTGTAGTACCGCTCCATCAACCACCGGGTGGATCCTGGCTCACTACGCCTGTACCGATGGTACTACTCCAAACTATGCCAGTGGTGAGTTTGCACTGTTCACCAGCGGCTCTGGTTCCAGACGGTCAAGGCCAGTCCATGTTTTCCATGCTGATTGTTCGGACTGTTTTTAAATTCTGGAAATGTACAGCTAATTTTCTGAAGTCGCAGAGCTGTCGCCCTGTTTGATGTTTTATCGTAGTGAGGCTACTGGGTTTGCCTTGTTAAATACATTCATTAAATATTGTTGAAGTCACTCTCTCAGTTTGTTGGGATTTTTATTTTGTTTGTTCTCTTTGGACTTGGATATATTTGGTGCTTTGAGTTATTTTATCTCTGGGATTTTATTTTCCTATAAAACATCTTAAACTGTCCTGTAAAAGAATCATACTGTACACAAGAATTTAATTTGCCAACATAATGTTACCAGCATGAAGTCTGAAGTCTCCTCAGTGCAGCACTTTTGGAGTGCCTGGAGGAGCCAAGAACATATGAGGTTAAAGGGTGACATGGTGCAGGAGCTACTGACTGTACCAGAAGAGCTACTGACTGTACCAGAGGAGCTAATGACTGTACCAGAGGAGCTACTGCCTGTACCAGAGGAGCTACTGACTGTACCAGAAGAGCTACTGACTGTACCAGAAGAGCTAATGACTGTACCAGAAGAGCTACTGCCTGTACCAGAGGAGCTACTGACTGTACCAGAGGAGCTACTGGCTGTACCAAAAAGAGCTACTGACTGTACCAGAGGAGCTACTGATTGTACCAGACAAGCTACTGACTGTACCAGACAAGCTACTGACTGTACCAGAAGAGCTACTGACTGTACCAGACAAGCTACTGATTGTACCAGAAGAGCTACTGACTGTATCAGAGGAACTACTGGCTGTACCAAAAAGAGCTACTGACTGTACCAGACAAGCTACTGACTGTACCAGAGGAGCTACTGACTGTACCAGACAAGCTACTGACTGTACAAGA